GGGTCCAAGAATCTGAGCTTCCTTTACCCAGCAGGGCTGCATAAGGAAATGATTTGACCACGGGTGTGGTTACCAGGTGTTTGGAAGGGTCTACACTTGGGTGTGCGGTGTGCTTTGATTTAGCAAGGGGGAAGTCTTTTGCCCCACCCCTTGGCGTTATTATAAAAAGCCCTTTTGAATAAATGGAAGAGGCATTGGGTATTGATCCAGGTCCTCCCGAAGCTATCCTGTGTTTCTGTCTTTCTCCGCTTCTCTATCTTTCTATCTAATATTTTCTTATCCCTCTCTCCTTCTCATAGGAACCCTTTAAAAAGGTGGGAGCTGGCCTCCCACAGCTATAGAGTGAGACCCCTTCTCCTAAAAACAAAACAAACTCCATAGAAGCAGAACTACTAGATGACCCAGCTCTACCACCCTGAAGCTACAATCCTGAAGAGATCTGGTTAGCATATTATCAAGATGTCTGTACATTTATGATTGCCACAGCACTATCAGCAATGGAAAGATTGTAGAATCATCCTAGATGTCCATCAGAAGATGAGTGGGTTAAGAAAGTGTGCCATGTAAATACAATTGTGTTTTATTTCCCAACAGAAAGCAAGATATGCATGTCATTTGAAGGAGTAGAACTGAAGATCAACATGTTAAGCAAAGCAAACCAGGCATATGCAAATATTACATGTATTCTCAAAAATTCAGAATCTAAATTTGAAAACAGAGGTGCACATGTAAGAAAAGAAAGCGTAAAAGGGAGATGACCAGTGGGTATGTAAGAGAGAGTAATAGGGCTGTCACCATGGGTAAAGTATATGATATGCATAAACAAAATGGTGTAATGAAATGTGGTTATGTGTTGTGTCTCCCAATATATTGTGTCTCCCAATAAAATAAAACTTGCCTGGAGATCAGAGGGAAAAAAGCCAGCCACTATATAGAAGTCAGAAAATGGTAGCACACACCTTTAATCCTATCACTTGCCAGGCAAGGATTTGTCTGGATCTCTGTGAGTTCAAGGCCACACTGGGGAACAGAGCCAGGCATGGTGACACATGCCTTTAATCTCAGCACCAAATTATAGAGGTCTGGAGGTCTGGACAGACAGACAGGAAGTAACAGAGCTGGGAAGGAAGAGGAAGTGATGTAGCTGGACAGAGAGAACAAGTCAGATGGCAGAACAGCAAGGCATATAGGTGTGGGTAGACAGGAAGCAGTTCACGTTTTGGAAGCTGCGGAGTTGGTGAGGTGAGATTAGCTGTGGCTTTCCCTATTTCCCTGATCTCTCAGGTTTTCACCTCTATATCTGGCTCCATGTGTTTTATTTAATAAGACTGTTTAGAAATTTGTCTACAATGAAACCTGTAACTTTGTACAATGTACGAAAGTTCCAGCCCATTACTTAGGACATGTGCACATTAACTGAATGTTAATTACTTCTATTTTCAAACAACCTGTATAGGAATAGTCACAGCATCTTGACTCACTATAGCCTCGAACTGGACTGCACATAAATGACTTTCAAGGGAGAATGGAAAACCGTAGCTTAAGATGGTGAATATAGCCGGGTGGTGGTGGCGCACGCCTTTAATCCCAGCACTCGCGAGGCAGAGCCAGGTGGATCTCTGTGAGTTCGAGGCCAGCCTGGACTACCAAGTGAGTCCCAGGAAAGGTGCAAAGCTACACAGAGAAACCCTGTCTCGA